CCGAATTTTCGACGCGCGACTGATCCAATTCCCGATAACGCGCGCGTCCTTCCACTCACGAAGAAGAATTCCCGGTACGCTCAAGAGCGGGTGTAAGTCGAGAAGGGTTGGAGGGGGCGTAGAAGGCGCGCGTTATCCCGAAAGTTTAGTATCCGGCGCGAGAAACCGGTAGTAAAGTTATTCACGGCGGAGAGAAAAGAGAACCGCGTGTAACTTGGAAGGAGAGGGAAAACGGAGAGAGAAGAGAGAGAAAAATAGAGAAAGAGCGAGAGAAGCTCGGGTATAGTATTCGAGTACACCCGAGCGATCCTTGCAGATAAGAACAGAAGGTGTAACTTACTAGGCCTCCGCTTGTATCCCGATACATCGTGCCTTTATATATCCTTCCGTTACTCGTCTCTCTCTCTCTCTCTCTCTCGCGTGTGTGTGTATAATATACGTGTGTGTGCGCGTATTCTTCTCGTCTCTTTTTTACCTCTTCCTCCCTTCACCCGCGCGTGTTCTCTTTCGCGTTTTTCCTTTTCACCCGTTCCCGAATACTCCCTTCGCGGCTATTATGTAACTTATAAATCCTTCAAATGTGTAACAAGTATATGTACAGACGACGTCATTAATTCGAAGAATAGGCGCGGGGATCACATAAAAAGTCCAGTTGATCCAAATATCCATTAGTCCCAAAATCGGGTGTCCAGTTGTGGACACCCGATTGCTACTAGTTAGTTAGTACGGCGCCCGTTGGCGCTACGAGCAACCGCCCCGCTTGCCCTCCGATCCCCACGCCTATTCTTCGAATTAATGACGCCGTCTGTACCAGAGACACGCGCGCGTTAGATAAGCTCTGTGCGCGCAAGAAGCTCTTCGAATATACATATATATGATAGATAGGTCCGCAAAATAAAGACAATGAACGCGCCTTTTTATCTCACGCCGATCGTCTTCTTTCTCTAGATCAGACGAGATTGCGATCTGCGCGCTCTCGTAATTTGCATTTGGCGAATGCAGATCTTTGGGATAAAAATAATACACTGACGCAATACATTTTGGAGAACGCGATCGAAAAAAAATTCGCAATGCTAAAGAAGACTGAAAAAAAAATTAAAAAAAATAAAATCACATTGTTTTCAACGCAAGAAAAACCTTTTGTATTCATGAGATTTAAAAGGTGAGGAATGTTACCGCGATCAGCTGCTTTTGGACGAAACTCAGACGTTTCGCCTGAGCGACGTCGTCTTTTATTTAGAGGTTGCAAACTCAAGGTCTCCAAGGTGATCGTCCTCCAGCTGTAACAATTAATCGGTAGACGGGACGTGCGCGCAGCTTGTTGCGCCCAGGTTGCTCCTCCTCGTCGTTCGTGGGATCACGTGCTGGATCTCCCGAAAATTGACCATCTGCCGGAATAACGACTTAATTTGCCCGAGACTCCTTAGCCCGCAGCCAAGGTGGCGGTCTCGTCCGGTTCTTGGAAGCGTTCCTCCTTCCGTTGGCATGCTGTCGAAACGAGTCACCAACGCCACATCTCGATTCTCTCTCGAAGAAAATCTCGAGATCAGAATCTTCAAGCCTGACATCTCACAATCAAAAGTTGAAGACGGATCTTTCGAGAGATATTCCAACAAAAAAGAAAAGAAGCTAACGTTGCGTCGTAAAGTCGCGGGTTATCGGTTCAAAGAAATCTGTGTGTGTGTGTATACGTAAGTTAATATAATAAAAAACTTTGCTAACGAAACTTTCGGAGCGATATTTCGTTTGTTTCGCCTGATGCGTGGAACAAATCGAGAGCCAGGTGTGTTTAAAGCAAAAAGTTGACTTTGCACACTTTTATAACACGATAATCACTCCGGAAGAGAGCAATTTGATGATCATCGAGAATCCTTATGACTGTAAAAAAATCCTCAAGCAGCTTAGTTTTGTGGTTATTTAAGTTGCTACATTTACCGAGAGTTTGAAATTATTTTTTTTTTGTAAATTCGCGTTTTCTTTTTGTTTCAGGTAAGTATCCAGTTTCGGCTAATTTTGAAAAAAAAGAACAAGTGTCCGTTACAACGCTGGTGAGTGGAGTAAGGTAAATGTCCCAGTACTTAAACACTCACTCGAATTTTCATTTATATTAAACTATTTTACTGATATTTACAATAATCAAAAGTTTTATTAATATTTTTAATTGTATTATTATTAAAACATTGTAATAAAAGTTTTCTAAACAGTAGATGTGAT